ACAGTGTAGGGCAGATTATAGGACATGTAGGACAGATTATAGAACATATTATAGGACAGATTATAGAACATATTATAGGACAGATTATAGGACAGATTATAGGACATGTAGGACAGATTATAAAACACTGTGTAGCACAGATTATAGGACAGATTATAAAACACAGTGTAGGGCAGATTATAGGACATATAGGACAGATTATAGAACATATTATAGGACAGATTATAGAACATATTATAGGACAGATTATAGGACAGATTATAGGACATGTAGGACAGATTATAAAACACAGTGTAGGGCAGATTATAGGACATCGAAGGACAGAAGGCGTACCTGAGTAGAGCTGAGGAATGCTCGCAGACAGGGGAAGGTGTACACTCTAATGAACAAAAATACAGAAGCTTTTTAAAGTCAACCCTGGTGATCAAATCTGTATTTTTGTGAACATGAGCATGGTGCATCACCTCCTCTGGTCTCCATGGTAATGATTAACAAAGTTCAGGAAACGCCTGCAGTCCTGCAGGCAGAACCAGGATCAGAGACCGCGGTACAACAGGTGTCCAGAAGGACAGGTGAGTCACTCACCACCTCAAAGTCTGCGTCTCTGATTTTACAGAAGGCAGCGCTGATGTCCTGGCTGGGGAACCACTGATTGGCTCTTTGCTCTCGGTTCCGGCGTGGAGTCAGACGACACAGAGCCTCTGATAGACTGACCTGCAGCTCGTAGTCTGGAACCCAGAGATCAGGACACGTATGAACCAAACTCAGGAGGAGCTGTGGGAAGACCCATTACTCTAAACTGGTCTCTGTCTTTATTCKTCATCCACCACTTTTATGTGGCTCCAACCGTAGCATGTACCCCCACAACAGTTACATCAAAATGACCGTCTTTAACCTGGTCGGATTTTCAAAATAAGAGCGCCGTCCCCAGTTATACCTGTTGATTAGCCATTTAGCCTTAATTATGCTTTTCTTATGTTTCTGTTACATTTGTTTACACTGTAGAGAATGTTACAGCTGCACGGTAATGTGCTACAAAAGTTAATTATTTAGTATATTTTATAGTTCGTTATCCAAACTTATTTGGACCAGATGTAACTTATTCAGATTTTCAAAATAAGAGTGCCATACCTAGTTTATTACAGGAAATTGTACATTAATACTGATTGTAACTTGACACATAAACAGCTAACATTAGCTAATTACTTCATGCTTCATAATAATTAAATTGTTACTAGTGAATGTTAAAAMTATTTACTAGTTGAAAGGAATCTGCTTTATTTGGTTGTGAAATAAAATATCAATAACAAAGATAAAAACAAGTGCATATAATTACTACACTGACCTACTTATGTGTTAATGGATTTTGACACATTAATTAAATACATTTATATTGAGCTTCCTGTAAACATAAACAACTTTCTGTAATTTGGAGAAACAGTTTGTCAGAATTTCTACGTTTTGTTAAAACAAAATACTCAGATCATACTTTTTAGATTTATATTTGAAATAAAATTACAGCTTGTTTAAAAAAACAATGTGACCTTCAACCACAGAGTTCCAATTTAAAACAAAGTGTCTCCTTTAAAGGTTTCTATTGCTATCCTAACCACATGCTGATCTTTGCAGGTGAAGCCCAGAGAAAGTAGGTAGATGGGTAAGTTAGGTAAATTCACTAAAAACTGCTAAATCTGCAGGTTTCAGTCAGGACACAAGCAAAGGATAACATTAACAGCAATATTTAAATATTTAAGACGCGGTGTGTTTGTGTTCAGGGTCTGAAGCTCCTCCATGACAGCGGCGTGTTCTTCGGCCACCTGCATGCCTCGTTGTGGACAAGTGTGTGTGTCGGCTGGTGGAAGTCGAGAACAACATTCTGGACCTCCCTACATGCTGCGACCAGCTTTCAGACAGTTTAGGAAGATTAACATATGCAATCTGGATTAAATTAGCTTGGATTAGTTGAACCAGCATCATCTAAAACTAGGTTTTAAAGAAGAGATGTGAATCTTAAAATATGTGCTGGGAGATTCACAGATGGATCTTCTTTCTTATATGTTCAAATAAAGCGTTGTTAGATAGTGTCATTTCTCTCTCTGATCACTCATTTGCACAGTGATTCTGATTAAAGCTAATTATTTTAGCCCTATAAAATACCACTGGTTGCTCCAAACTGGGTATTGATGATCTTTGTTAACCTCTGGAGAGATTTGGAGGGGTTTCTGGCTCTTCCATGCCCCTTTTAACTGGTTTTTGGAGGTTTGGTTGGGTTTTAACCTTCCTAGGCYCCTCACACCTGGGTTTTGAAAGTTTTTAGTTGTTTTCTTCCCTCATAGGCCCCTTTTGCCTGATTTTAGGCAGTTCTGAGGGGATTCTGGCCTTCTTAGACCTTCTTTTGGTTTCAAGTTAGGCACACTTGGGCAAGCCCCTTTTAAATTTCTTCTGAAATTTTCTAATTTGATTTAGCGTTCACATAAAACTCACCTCCGACTGTCAGGACTGCTGCTGCCATCTGAGACCTGCGGTACAGGTAAAGACAGGTAAAGACAGGTGAACATGAGAACACATCACAGATGCTCTGTAAAGAAAACAACTCAAAACTTAAAAAAGGGATGTGAAACAAAGSTTAGATTGGACTACAACTACAGGTGGGGTTTGTTTAGGGGGTATTTGGGTCTGGGTTAGGGTTGGGGGGTCACTGTGTAGTACAGTATGTGGGTCTGGCCCTCATCATTCTGGATCAGTCTCCTTTGATCTCGGCTCAGAGACTCCAAGAAGCTGTTGAAGGTTCTGATGGCCTGAAACAAGACAAAATCCTTGAAAAGCCCTGTATACCATGGACCATTACAGACCAACAAAGACCAGCAGGGACCAGGACAAACCAAGAGAAAAACAACAACTCCACAACAGATCTAGAGAGAACACCAGTGACCTAAAGCAACACATGTACTGTACCATCACAGACCAAAGGAAACCAGCAGGTACAAGCAGCATCGAAGAGAAAACCACAAAGACTACAAAAGACCAACAGATACCCAGAGTGACCAAAATACTGTAGAACCATCAAAAACTAGAACAGAGCAGCACAAGTCCCTCACATGAAGTGATGGGAATATTTGTTTCAATGCTTACCTCCAGTCGCAACGGGAAGTGGATCTGTGATTCCAGACAGAAGTGAGCCAGTTGAAGAAGAACCACAGAGATCTGAGGATCTGACAGAGACCGCTGAGTTCACACCCAGAAACAAGGAGGGGGTCGAACTAAAGATGTGCCTTAAACAAACCTGGAAGACAGTCTTCACCCAGCAGCTGAGAAACAGACCAAAGTCCACAGATCAGCTTTGTTTTTGATTATGTGAAACTTTGGTGTAAAATATCWGCTGGTTGTTTATTAGAAAAATTAATGGTTTTATACTGAATACACAAAAGACTAAAAGATGAAAAACAACAAAAATCAAATAACATTATGTAACAATCAGACAAAATAAAGCCAGACGTAAAGACAGGAAGGATCAACGCAGGCGATGGGCCATGATGGAAACACAGGAGGGTGAAAAGCATGCTGGGTAATACAGAAGACCCAGAAACTGCTGAGTCACTGGCTGTGTCTCATTTCATGGGCTGGGTCCTCATGAGCACGTAGCCCAGCTGGGCCACAGCCCCCCTGGACCAGGTAGGCTGCTCAAAACTCTAGTGAAATGAGACGGTCTACTCTTTGCCTGATGTTTTCTTCACGTGACCACACGCTCTCCGTTACCGTAGTCATCAGTTTCATTCAGACTTAAAAGCGTTGGGACGTGTATTTACACGTCTTTTTATTGGAAGAAGAACTTCACAGTTAAAATGTTTACATAAATAAATTAAAAAACAGTAATAATTCAGGTTTAGCTCCAGTATCAGCACTTGTAGTTGTATTTTTTAACATCTTATTGCAGAATAAATTTCATTAGCTAAATTGCTAAAATTCTTTTTAAAAACAATTGGTTTGTGGTGAATTTCTAAAGCACGCTGACTTGTTAAAAAATATAAAAACTCCACCGTCKTCATTTCTCTGTTTGGTTTTGGTCCCACACATTGAATCCTGGGATACCCTGGGCTGGTGAACACAGATGCATCCTCAGATTTCCAGAGTTTGTCGGCTGCATGATGAGGAGCCTCTGATTTGGGAAAGTCCTCGGCGCGGGGCAGTGATATATGCAGCTGTCAAATGTGCACTGATGAGGAGCCAGGCCCTGAACTCAGACACAACCTCTGGACCCCCAGGGTGACGATTGTGAGAGCAGCACCCTCCACTGCTGTTTCACAGGTGTTCTTAACACACTGTGTTTTCAGCTCTAGCCTTGGGGTCATACGACACYTTCAAATGTTTTCATCCAGCCTAACGCACAATTTCAAACAAAGAGACTAAATAATTTAAAATCTTAAGAATGGTTAGCATTTCTGTGTTAAACATCTTATTGTTCCATCCTTTCCTAACAGAGCACTTCACTGTCAGACTGCAGGTTTACTTGTGGTTCCTGGAGTTTCTAAAAGTAGAATGGGAGGCAGAGCTTTCA